CTTTAACCATATTTCAGGTAAATTTTTACTTTTTAGTTCTTTAATTTTAAACTTTAACCTTCATGATCATAAGGGTCAAATAGTCATTATTCAGACGGATTTCTCTTATAAAGATAATAAGTTTTGAAGAGATGACAGCAAATAGAAGTCTTAACATTAGAAGATGTAGTTATGTTTTTTGATATTATTACCAGAGATGATTTGTGATTCTTTGTAAAATATAACATATTGATTTGAACTGTTAAATGATATGAATTTGCATGTTCTTATCCTCTTGAGAACTGACACTCTTTCATTTTGCATGATTATATGAATTACTATTTGAAATAATATATAAATGACATAACTGTCAAGGTGCAGAAACCCCCAAACTTTGGAATTCTCTACATGTGGATTCTCTAATTATATTGTCTTTATTGTTCACCAATTGTTTTCTACACTTCCTTTAAATTGATCCCATTGCACACCAAAACTGGCAGGCTCTTGATCTAAAAGTAAACAGTTGGATGGAGAATTTGTGGTAATAGAGTTAAGAGAGCATAATAAAAAGAAAGGGTTATCTTGGAATTTGATTGGAAATTTTACAAAAGGTAATACTTTAAATCTGGGAGCTCTCGGTATTTCATGTAAAACTAATTATAGTTGCAATCTTTCTGGGTCTGCTGCCTTTGTAGGTTGTGTGTCATTAGCAGGAATCGTAGATAGAATTTCGCATCAGTAAGAATATTAAGATCAGGTTGCTCTTGGATTGCCTCTTTTTTTACTACATGTATATTTGGATGAAACATGTGAATAAATTTGTTTATGACCCTTTTATTAAATGGCATTTTAGTCTTTATAAGGCTATAAAAGAATCTAATGATTTAACAAGGAAATAAAACAAAAAGGCTTTTAATTACTATCTTCATTTATGGTAATTATTCTGCAAGGGTATTTTCGCCACATGCATAATTGGAAGACATGCATGCCCCTTTTCTATAAACCTATACAGTTTCCAAAGTGATTCGCATCGTTTAATCTGGATGAAAGTGATTGAAAAAGCCACCAAAAGCCATGGACGAAGCTTAGAAACAATTATCTTTGCTTTTGTTAAAATATGTCTGCATACTTTGCTATATGTTTTCTTTAAAAATGTCTCTGAATGTATTACATATAGTAACCACCGACAACGTAGGCACAAAAATGTTTGCCTAACCTAAATCAACTTCTATCAATAAAATAACCCAAGTCACAATTAATATAACACAATGAAGAAGAAGAAAAATCAAATATATTAAATTAAACCAAATGTATATGATATATAAAGCTTATATTTTCTTCACATACATAAAACTTAAAAATGATATATAAACAACAAAAGATGTAGAAAAAATCAAAAAAAATCCAATTAAAAATCATATATTTCGTAATATATAAACTTTTTTTAAAGAAAAAAATAACTCTTTTTGCGATAATAAGTAATAACCATTAAATAAGCCACTTTGCAACAGAACATAATTTTGCAGTCGGACCATATGTTGTTATTTTGTATAAAAGTTAAAAATATAATTTATCTTTTTTAATATTCATCATCCATTTGGTTAATTTTTATTCCATTAATTGAAAATATGAAATACATTAAAAACTTAAAAATTCATAACTAGTCATTTAAAAGAAAGTTTTTGTCCAAAACTTATTCTTCCAAATCACCTACATGGTATTCATTAAGTTTATTATGGTTATCCGTTCAAATATGTTCCATCAACTTTATGTGAAGATCGTGATGTATCTTAGCATTACATACTAATTCTTTTCTTGCCATGTAATCATTGCTATCAATTTCTAGTGGTTGTTTCAATATAACGATTTCGTTTTTGTAATATTCACATATTACATTTCCTTCATTATATATATATATATATATATATATATATATATATATATATATATATATATATATATAGTTCAAATAAAAACAGTAAATAGTATGAGAACGTAAAAACATTATTTTTATGTTATTATTCTATAATGAATTTTGTATCCAAAACTTTATGTCATTATTCAGCAACGAATAAATGAATAGTCGCATGTTAAAACTAAAATTAAAATTTATTACAAAAATACACATACATAAATTTATAATAGGATAATAACATTCTAATGAATATATGAATAATCAAACGTTAATATTCATATTAGAATTACTTCAACAATACACATATACAACATTCATTATAGAATAATAACATAAACATATTATTTTTACGTTTTCACACTATTTTCTGTTTTTATTTGAACTTTTATATATATATATATATATATATATATATATATATATATCACCTCAGTCATTTTTTCCCCTAGAAAAAACTACAGAGTTTTCTTTTTTTAATATTTATCAACATTTTTTAATAGCATGTCGTTCAACACCCTTCCTTGCCCTTTCTTCACTTCTCTTAAAATTTAACCTCTTGTGATCATTAGTATATTATAATGATTGATTTAACAAATACATAACGCCCATGATAGTTTAAAAAAAAAAAAAAAAAAAAAGAACCATAGATGTAAGATGACCCATGCATATGAGACCAATGCAATCCTATTATGTCAAGGGGTCTTGTTAAGCCACTCTTTGTAGCCTTAGGGCCTACTTGTTATAGTCTGACTGGGACCGAGTCAGCGATTTGGGCTGACTCGGTTAGAGGTGTTCGTTTGGATGGATCGGTTCGATCCGATCCAATTAAGTAAATCCAAATAGATTTCGGTTTTCAAAATATGGATCCAAATAATCCAAACTAAATTCAAATCCGATCTGATCCGATCCAGTTACAATTCGGTTGGATCGGTTTTTATCATTCGGTTTTCAAAAACCATAACATTTTATAAGGATATAGAATTATAATATGATCTAGTTTTACAGAAGAAGTAAAAACAAATTATTTACTTGTGATTTAAAACTTATAAACAACCACTAAGAAGGCATATTATACTTTATTATTTAATAGATAAAAAAAACTTTTGAGAGAAAGTACATATTAATGTCTTTTATTAGGTAAAACTTTTTGAACTTATTTAAAAAAATTATAAAATTAATAAATAATTATAGATATATTGAAAATAAATACAAAACAAATTGTTATTCGGTTTTTTTGGGCTATTCGGTTCTTATTTTATAAACCAAAACCAATCTGAAATCCAAAATAATAATTCGGTTTTGTTGAAAACCAATCCAAAAATCCGAATATCCGAACCAAATAGTCCAATCCAAATTGTCCAATTGGACAATTCGGTTTTATCCAAATAGTGAACAGTCCTAGACTCGATCAGACGGAAATGTGTTTGATAATCACTTTCTCACTCAGAAACGTCTGGCCCATATGATTTCTCGGTCAGACATTGAGATGCTGCTGACTGAAAAAATGACCTTCATACCCTCTCTTTTCTTTCTTCCCATCGTGACCTAGAAGAGAAACAACAAAGAAATTGGCCGCCAACGACAGCTCCTTCTATTGTCGACGTCCCTCCTTCAGTTCGACTACCGGCCTCACTCTTCCCTCTGATTCGAGCTCCCGCAAGAAAGACATCAAAACAGGTATGTCCTCGTTTTTTTTCCTGTGAAATCAAAATATTGTTCTTTCTCCTCCTCGTTTTTTTCTGTGAAATCAAAATATTGTTTTTCCTTCTCCTTTGTATATGATTTGTGAAATCATAAATCAGAAATTGGTTTTGAAATCAAAAATTGTTCTTGTTCTTGAATTCATGTTCATATAGTGGATAGCAATTCCATACAGAAGTAAAGGGAACCTGCATAATAATTGGCATCTACAAAATCAACGACTTTATATTACTTTATGCACACCCTTATCCTTAACATAAAAGTCTTCTTTATATATGAAATACTGAATACATAAACCATGAAAAGCAGAATTAATTGTCTTCTTTTCGATTTTTTGATGTTATGTTCCTGTTTGATCAGGAAGGTTCGTACCTGCCTCTTGATCTGGAATGCTCTTATAAGCTTTAATTTTACAACTTTTGTAGAAGATACAACCAATAAAGGTATCAAGTGTAATGAGATGATTAGACATGTGTTCCATAGTTGTGTTTGGAGGATGGAATTATAGAGTCCAGCGAAAGATGATTTGTGTTTGGAGGATGGAATTAAAGATTCCAGCAAATAAGAATTTGAAGGGAATAAGAATTTGAAGGTTTTTATGGATGAGAGGATCTGTTTTTTACAAGAGCTGGAGTCATACAGATTTGTCTAAAGGACAATTCGGTCTTTTTCTTTTCAATTTCAAGGAAAGCAAAATTTTTCAAAGTTTTGTGCTCACGGAATGGTCCTTTGGAATAAAGATGGAAAAAGAGAATGGTTGAAATGTTCTTTTGCTGTTGAATGTTATTCAGATTATATGTGCTTGTATTCATATAAGTTTTTCATTTGTTTTCCTTTAATATTTGATGTTTTTGCTCCAAGTGTTATGGCTAGTTATCAATCCTTTAATGACTGATTATCAATCCTTTAAATTGATTGATGAATGTGAATTTGGTCAATGAATGAGTTGTTTGAATTGTTGAAAAACAATGAATTTATTTATGACTTTATAGAAACAATGATTCCTTTTATTTTATTTGAATATTCAAAGGATTTGTGTGTAATTTACATTTAAAGGGTAAAATGGTCATTTTTTATTAGTCAGCACATTCAGTCAGAACTCAGATGTACAATCAAACAACATGGTTTCTTACTCAGTCAGGATTTCTTACCCAGACCTTTCTCAATCAGCACTTTCTCAGTCAGAAACTATCAAACGGGACCTTAGAGTGGTCCGCATTTTAAAAACACGTAACAATGAGAGACTTTTTAGTTTGAGGGGCCTTACAAGAAAGTGTTCCAAACTACAAGATCCAAAGATGTGATTTTTCAAAGTTTGTATGTATGTACCACTCCTCAAGTCATTTTCAACACATTTTTATATGGGTTTGCCAATAAGGACATAACTTTGATGGATTTTTTCCAACTATTATCTATCTTTATGATTATCCTTTCATTTCTTTAAATTCATCACCCTTCTTCCAGTCTTCTTTGTACTCCCCACTGCTACACATTCAATTCCTCACTCATCGATCACACGCTCACACCTATAATTCAATTTCCCATAATAAATTTTACACCAATTTCTCAATCATTGCTTTCAATTTCCTTCCTACCAACTAAAACAACTGAATTCCCCTTAATTACTCCCCCTAGATCTGCTCCCTAACAAAATTGTTCGAGGGTTTCGCTTTAATTTCGCCTTTGATGTTATCCCACTTCTGGATTTTGCAGAAAGAGAGGTTTACTTGAGGTATGACGACGGCGAGCAGTTTCGTATCCGGGTCCGGGTCCGGGTCGTTGAGTTCAAAACCTGCAACGGGTGTGTCAGATCAGTTCCCGGTGGGTTTGAGAGTTCTTGTTGTTGATGACGATGTTACTTGTTTAAAGATTTTGGAACAAATGCTTCGCAGATGCTCGTATCATGGTAAACACTTTGTTTTCCTTTTTCGCTTTCAGTATGAACGTTATATTTCTCTGTTTGTTAGAGATAACTGTTAGTATCCACTTTTCAGAACTTTAACACGATTAGTGATAAGTAACACTAGATTACCTTCAATAATCACAAAAAAAGAGCACTTTCTGCGCAAGCAAGTAACTTTACCTTGAGTTTTCACCATGAAAAGGTTAAATGTTGCATTTTTATGTAATCAAATCACTGCTTAACATGACGTGAACATGAAAAATACTGTTGATCTTTTGAGTTACCTTGAGTGGATTATATGCGGAAAATAATAAAGGATGAACTCTAGAAATGCTTACACTGGATCTTTACTTCTTTAGTAACTTGAATTTTGGATTTTTAATTGGAACATAATGGTATTGTATCTTGAATTTTGTACTTCATAGGCTTTCTTGATTTCACCCTTTAGATTCAAGATTCTACCATTCAAGATCTCTTTAGATTAATTTACTTATATAACCAGATATGGTTCTATTCTAGCATAATTTCTTTAACTATATTACTTTACCTCTTAAAGGGCTGTTTCTTTTTCTTTCTTTTTTCCCATTTAAGTCCTGAATGAGTAATGATGTCTGTATGGATAAAGATTGTTTCTTTTCTAATTTGGTTAACTTCTGCAGTTACAACTTGCTCACAAGCAACTGCTGCTTTAAATATATTAAGGGAAAGAAAAGGTGGATTTGATGTGGTTTTAAGTGATGTTCATATGCCCGATATGGATGGATTTAAGCTTCTTGAACTTGTTGGGTTAGAAATGGATCTTCCTGTCATAAGTACGTTTTTTTTTCCATCTATAATAATCTTTTTTCTTTTATATAAACTAAACACAATCTATTATTATTCTTTGTAGTGATGTCAGCAGATGGAAGAACGAATCTTGTGTTGAGGGGAATAAGACATGGGGCATGTGATTACTTAATCAAGCCTATACGTGAAGAACAACTAAAGAACATATGGCAACATGTTATAAGAAAAAAATGGAATGAAAATAAAGAACATGAAAATTCAGGGAGCATGGAGCACAAAAGAGGAGGAGGAGGAGGAGGTGATGATAATCATGATAGTGAGTATGGTTCTTCTGTTAATGAAGGAGGAGAAAATGGGTTGCTGACTTGTCATAAAAAAAGAAGAAGTATTAAAGAAGAAGATGATTGTGAACTTGAAAGTGATGATCCATCTGCTTCAAAAAAGCCACGTGTTGTTTGGTCTGTGGAGTTGCATCAGCAATTCGTTAGTGCTGTGAATCAACTTGGAATTGACAGTATGTTTTTTTTTTCAGTTATTAATTTATTTTGTTAAAAATTGTTCAATTTATCTTATTATTACGTTACTTTTTAAATTTTTTCAGAGGCTGTACCAAAGAGAATTCTTGAATTGATGAATGTGCCAGGTTTGACTAGAGAAAATGTTGCAAGTCATTTGCAGGTGTAGTTTGACTTTTTTCCAATAAAGCTCTGACCTTTTTGATAATAACCATGGATCTCAATACCCAAGATTTCATATAACAAAAAAGATTATATGTGAACTAATTACAATCAAAACATATAGTGAAGTGATTAAAATTTTATATATATATATATATATATATATATATATATATATATATATATATATATATATATATATATATTTTGTTATGCAGAAGTTTAGATTATACTTAAAGAGATTAAGTGGTGTGGGAGGTCAACAAGGAGGGGGTCAAAATTCATTTGGTGGGCCCATAGAACAAAATCAAAAACTAGGTTTATATGGAAGATTGGAGATCCAAGCACTGGCGGCTTCCGGCCAAATCCCGCCGGAGACACTGGCGGCACTTCATGCTGAACTTTTCGGGCGGCCAACCGGAAATGTCAACTTGCCGCTAGTTGACCACCAACCGATATTACAATCATCTAATTACGGTCAACCCCTCCCATCAAAGCAAATTTCACAACCCGTTGTAGAAGATGTTCATTCATGGCATGCCAACAACATGATTGGTAATTATGGTGGATTGGGAGGGCAAAATGGTCATTTAATAGGGGTAATGCCAAGTCAACAGGTTCAGAAACAAGCGATTACGGTTCAACCCTCGCGTCTTGTTGTCCCGAATCAATCATCATCGGTTAGTTTTCAAGGGGGGAATAGTGGCGTTTTGGTAAATTCGGTTGAGAAACAAATTTCATTTGGTGAATGTGTTCAAGTGCTTGATCAGGGACCTTTGAAGAATCTTGGATTTGTAGGTAAAGGGAATTCGATTCCAAGTAGGTTTGCTGTTTATGAAGATGAATCTTTAGCAAATAATTTGAATCAATGGGATAACTTTGGAAAGAAAGTAAAACAAGAGCCGAATATTGAATTCATGAGTGTCTTCTCTGAATAGGTAAACATAAATATATGAAAAGATAAAAAGTGTACTTCATTTTCAAAGTAAAAAAGGAGAATTAATTTACCTAATGCTCAAGATCGATTTTTTTTTTGTCAAATTGAAACAGGTTTAGATCATGATTTACATATCAAGATGGTTGGTTAGAAGATTCATCTACAAATCAGAAATGAATCATGAAGGTGATGAATCGGTGTTCTTAGAGGTCAAGAAGAGTGTTGTTAGGTAGGATTATTATTGAACAAGTTCATAGAATCGTGGGACTTGTTGATCTTATTATATAAGTTTTTACGGGTTATATATGTAGCTCATTCATCAATAGTTATGCAAAGATTTAGTGATTGTAATTATGTCTCTCTTGTATGGTAGCTGTAGAATTGTATCGTAATGTTTTTACTCGATTCATATCTTGAAGAATATGAACTCTTGCTTACTTTGCATCGTGCATGAATGATTGTGCTATGAATGATTTTTAGATGTGTAAAATAAACCAAATTTAGATCTTGAATTATATGAATTCATGCTTTCCATGACTTGACTTACAAAAAGAAGTTAATAACAGGAACAAACAGGAAACTGATAATCAAAATATGGATTCAATGCTCAAACTAATAATTAAAAGATTGCAAGAACAAAAGCTAGCTATTGGAAAAGCTAGTCTCTCCCAATAAAAGATACCATATGATAAAGATGATTCTTCACCAATTCCATCTACCTCCTTATAAGCATTCTGTTGCAACAAACTATGTAAACTAAATACCTATAATACCCCTCTGCTAATAAGATGCTCATTATTTTGCTGATTTCTTCATCTTATCCCTAATAAGAATGTGACTTAAGTGGGTGTGTAGCAATATCCCACCCTCGAAGAGTGAACTTGGGTGGATCATAGAGAAAATGTGATCTTGGGTTTTTTTTAAGATATGGAAAAGGATGGAATGGAGAGGCATGGGAAGCAAAAAAAGGCTTAAATCCCTTCATTTCATTACATTTCCCTCCAACTTACGAACATACTTGATTATTTATATTGCTATTCCATTTCCTCACCTTCCATCTCCTTTTCTTTCATTTCATTCCCTTCCTTTAATTAAAAACTCGAGAACAAGGCGTAAACCAAGGATTTTGGGGGTGATCTTGGGAGAGGTCGATCCTGTGATGACAAAGTTGTAAGTCCCAAGGTTGAGAAAGAACGGGAGGAATTATTGGCACCAAAATTGGTAAAAAGTCAAAACCACCAACGGATTAAACATCATTCTCATATAAACCCTTGGGAATTGATATTGTCTTAACAAACCAAGATTGAGAAAGAAGGGATGAATTTATTGGCACCCAAAATAAAAAGTCAAAACCACAAATGGATTAAACATCATAATTACGTTCCTATAAACCCTTGGAAATTGATATTGCATTATCAAACCAACTATCACCGGCATGTGAAGTGTCTATATATGAATTGATATTGTCTTATCAAACAGCCTGTGAAGTCTCTCTCTCTCTCTCTCTCTCTCTCTCTCTCTCTCTCTATATATATATATATATATATATATATATATATATATATATATATATATATATATATATATATAAATCATTTATCAACCTTTAACATATAATAAACTTCTAATTTAGACCTTTAACTTTTATTATATGTCTTCATCATATAATATCTCAATGTTTATTTTGTATTATAATACAATCTTAATTTTTCTTTTAGTTTTACTAATATTAAAAATACCAATATTAAATATTACCCATATTGAAAAATATGCGTATTATTTATAATTATTTAAGAAAAAATAAATATCCTTCTACATTTTCTTCCGAAAACTTCCATATGTGTCTTTTGTTTAAAAAAAAATCTTATTTTAAAGACAACTATCGAAAACGTCATACCGCTGATCTATTTGGACAAAATTTACTTTTGTCTTTTGTTTTTTTGGAAATCTTTTGATTTTTGGAAATATCTTCTTGGTTTAAATCGTTTAGTATTTTTCTTTTTTGAAAATTTTTTGTTGTTCCTTTTTGAATATTTAAAAGATTTTTTGTTGTTCCTTTTTTGAAAATTTTTTGTTGTTCTTTTTTGAAAATTTCTTTGAAGAATTTTTTGTTTTATGGGTAGCTTTGCATCCATATTCTAAAGACTTTTCTTTTGTTAAATGATTACAGCAGTTTTTGTTAAAACATTTTAGTCTTTTTTAGGGGTGTAAGTGAGCCGAGCTACTCGGGATCGACTCGTTAAAAGCTCGACTCGAGATCGAATTAAACGAGCCTGAGCCGAGCTCGAGCCTAAATATGAGGCTCATTTATTAAACGAGCTCGAGCCGAGCTTCAATTAATGGGCTCGCGAGCCTAAACGAGCTTAAACGAGCTTATACATACATACATACATACATACATACATACATACACACACACACATATATATATATATATATATATATATATATATATATATATATATATAGAGAGAGAGAGAGAGAGAGAGAGAGGTTCGTTTAGGCTCGATTAGGCTCGCGAGCCCACTAAATTGTTCACGAGCCGAGCTCGAGCTTCATTTTAAAGATCGAACCGAGCTCGAGCTCGAGCTTGGTCAGGCTCGGGCTCGGCTCGGCTCGTTTACACCCCTAGTCTTTTTTGTGTATTTGATAAATTACAATTTTTTTTTTTGAATTTCATCGATAACTATTCTCTTAGCAAAAGCAAGATTGTAAATTGTTGCATTTGTAGATTCATTTATAAATCTATTATGAGATTGTTGTCCTACAATAGGAATTTTTAATAGATATTGTTTAATTAACTCAGGATATAGAGTTGAATTATCTATTTTGTAAAGATTTGTTTTGTAGTCACAAGTGTATGATCTAGAAAGCAAATATCACATATGGTGAGATTTGTAAGTCTGGATTTGGCTTTTTCAATATCTCTTTTTTGTTCATTGGCTTTATCTTCTATAAGATCTATACCAAGGAACATCATGTAGATGACATCAAACATGTCTTGGAATACTGTCATTGGATTATGACTAATCCAGTTTGTATTTTTGATAAAATTTTGAACTATTTTGGATTTTTTATGGTCAAACAATAAAATGATAGATTCTTTTGTTGCATATTTTTCTTTGTTAGTCTGAATTATTAGACTTATTTCTAAAGTCCGTCTGTCGATAACTTCTTTTTTGTTTGTTTAAATGTTGTCGATATTGAGAATGTTTGTTCCGAACTAGTTTGGATTTCCAGTGGGAAGATCTGGCATAGAGTCAGTTCTATGACCTTGTTTAGTTTTAGGTCTTTTTCATCTTTCACCTTAAAAAGCGGATTCTCTAGGATGATCGAAATGTGGTTCAGTCTTATTCATCCCGAAGTTAGGCTCTATATCAGAAGAAAGAGATTTTATTTCTTCTTTTGAAATATATAGAAGTTTCTTTGTTAGAGGATTCTTCTATGACGTTAATCGTTTCATCAAAATAGAAAAGTTGTTTAAGTTCCTCAGATGTGGAGATTTCTAAGTTTGCTATATCCTTCTTCTACTAATTCAAGTGTTTGAGTCGAGTGACACGAGCCATTGCTATGATATACTAATTTCTATGAATCGACTTACAAACCAGCTCATTAAAAGGAACACACACATGTAACTCCCAAACTAATAACCAAAATATTGCTAGAACAAAAGCTAGCTATTTGAAAGGCTAGTCTCCCAAATTTTTTTTCCAATTTATAAAAAGTTGATTCTTCACCCATTCCCTCTGCCCCTTTATAAGCACTATGTTGTAACAAACGCATTACACGCACCAGAAAAAAAAATACAAAACCAATAGATTTTTTTTAAAAGCACAAGCAATTACATTTCCAAATTTATAACTGCTAAATCATATATAAAAAATATATATATCTGTAAAAAGACAACCCACAATCATGATAGGAATACTAACAAAATATACATACAACTGCCAAAATGTTAGCTCGGCTTCTTCAATGGTGTCCTTTCTCCTTCATTTCTACCGATTAGTCACAACAAACCAATACCATTTTCACCAACTCCTTTTCTTTTTCTTTTTCTTTTTTTCCATATCTTCACAGCAAGGGTAAAATAGTAAAATGGTAAACAAGAAAGATGGAGAGGTCTCTGTCTCTGTAATGTTATTGGGTACTCCTTGTCAACCCACCACGTGTCACATTCCTGCATATATTCAAAAATTAAAACTTAGTGTAAGAAAAATAAGTAAATTGATAGTATTATATAATATAATAATAAATAGTTAAATATAAAATACCTATTTATAGAAGAAGGCTTTGAGTTTGAAGAAGCAAAGCGTTTTTGCCTATTGTCTTGTTCTTTATCAACACGCATTGCAGCTACCTCTTTCTCCATTGCAGCTACTTCTCTTCTCATCTTTTTTGCTTCAACTTCCATAGCTTTTGTTAATGTATCTACTTTTTTAGCTAGCATCTGAAAAACAATATTGTATTTATTAATTAATATTTTTTAAATAATTCATATACTTTTAAATAAAAGTAATTACTGTAACTATTAACCTCAATGGCATCATCTTTGTCTTTAAGGCTTTGATCCTTCTCATGTCCAGATTTCCTCAAAGAAATCACTTCTTTTTGCAACAAATCATACAACAACCCTGGAACACTATCTTCACTTTCATTTCCAGTGAACTCACTACTTTTTTCAGGTGTTTCAATGTCCTTTTTGCCCTCACCAATATTAAAAGTAGGACTATTACCAACTTTACCCCTGTCAATTGATCTAGTGCCACCATCAAATGACTTGGATGTACCCTTGGCATGCTTCAAAACAGAACTTGAACCAGAAGACCGCATCTGAAAAGATGGTGATCTTTTATGCAAAAAACCATTCGAGGGCATTTTCGTAAAATTGTCACCTCCTCCACCTAGAGACTGGCGGCGTGAAGGACCACCGTTGCTCATGCTTTTTCCATCCGATGAACCGATTCGATTCATAGGATTTGGCGACCTCAATGTGTCTTCCAGCACTCTAAGTCTCAATTGAAACTTTTCCTACAATTTTATATAAAAAAAAAAATTTAACACAAGGGTATTATGGTCATTTCCCAAAAAGTTACTTTTAACAGAAAGTTACTTTTAACTGTGCTTCAGATCTCGCAGCACGTTCGGTTATCACTAGCTTATCGCGCAAGTGTTGCATCTCACCCTGTTAACACAAGGGTATTTTCGTCATTTTCGAAAAAGTTGAAAAAAGTCAAGAATTGTAAAAGGGTTTTATAATTTATACATACCTGCAAGAACCTTCTTTCTTCAAGCCATTGTTTTACTGGCATGACTTTATCATTAGAATCTTTCCATTCATTAGCAACCACTGTTGCTACTCTATTTGCTGTAACTTTTGCACGTGCTAATTCTCTGTCTAGGGTTTTTCTTTCCTCCTATGTGTCAAAAATCAAAACGTGGGTATGAGTGGAATTTGTCAAATTTACAAGGGTAGAATGGTAATTTTGTATTTACATTCATTTCTTGAACTTTGCGTTGGTAATCCCTCACTGCATTTGCAGCAGCACCACCAGCAAGAACAGCTTCTTCAAGCTCACGTACAGTCTGTGTAAGCTTTTCCACCTCAGCAACCTTTTGTCGATGCATTTTATCCATAATTTTATTTTCCTCCTAAAAAACAAAACCATAATTTTATTTTCCTCCATGAAATTGATATTATTTAAAGATTTAGGATTTAAAAGCATCATACCTGACAAATTTCTATCTGTTTCATCAACTCCTGATTCTTGTTTTGAAGATCATCCACCATTGAAGCTTTTGCTAATGCAACTTGAACAGTCCTTTCAGCTTCAAGTAAAGCAGCTTCCTTTGACTTGGTCAATCTATCTAATGCTTTGTTGTCATCTTGTAACTTTGCAATCTGAAAAAATAAAAAAAGTAAAAGAAAAAGAAAGCATGAGATTTTTATAGTTTTTAAAATTATTTTGTAGCACATACCTCTTGTCGAGCAAGTTTGAGCTCAGCTTCCAATGGTGCAAGAATGGCTTCAATTGGTGGCATGTCATCATCTTTTTGAGCAGCATGAACTCTTCGCAGAGTGGCTTCTGCTGCAAATTGAGCTGCCATTGATGCTTTCTTTTCATCATTGATTTTCTTGATTTCAAGATTCTATAATACCAAAAAGTTTATGTTGTTATATATAACAATATGATGAAAACAATGTAAAAGGAGTTGAGTGTTGAAGTGATTTAGTCAATACTTTGCTTTCTAGAAGAGATTCTGTCAACTTCAGCTTCTCATCCACCTTTGACAATTCTTCAGTTAGCTATGGTGACATGAAAAAAAAGAAGAAAACTATGTCAAAGGTAACCCCTAGTGTATAGATATGACATTATGAAACATACAAGAGATAATAAAAGGGCAAAATGGGAAACACAATAATCACATAACTATCCTGATTTAAGAGAAAACAGAAATAAGTGGTTAAGAATGTGTGTTGAACTTTCCAATCTCATATCATTGCTGTAGTGAACTCAAAAAAGGAAATGATTTACAGAAGTTACCATATTCGAAGAGATGCCCTTTTGTTAAATCAACAAACTAATACATAAGTAGAAAAAGAAACATGACAAGACTCGAGAGCATGTTCTATGTCTGACACTGTGACTCATTAACAGAAGAATGGAAAATGTTGAGAACGATTGATAATGACTTTGCATGTGTTTGCACAATTCACAACATTAACATAAACAGCACATGTATCTTCCATAAGAATCAATCACAAGCAAAAAGAATTCAGTAGTTCAAGTTATATGGGAATCAGTTACATTAACATGAATTCAAAATCTAGCTTACAACACTTATTATACACAGGAAACAGTATTGTTTAGAGTGATCAAAGATGATTGAAAGATGGGTGAAAAACATCCAATCTAATTGAAATGGAAGGTTAGCAGAACAAGTGTTTGAAACAGGGTACTCTACCAGATATCAAACAAGCATTCAAATTCAAGTTTTTATGTGCATGAAGTAAACTGAACTCCACAAATTTCTAAATGGTAAAGGTAGTAATTCATATAAAGAACGAATTTTAAAATTAAGAAGAGTATAACCTCTTCAACAGCTTTCTCCCTTAATCGTTCAGATAGCCTGAGGGCCTTGATCTCCGCCTGTGCTTCCCCCAATTCTCGATCCTTATCTGCATAAAAGTCAAACGAAGTCCACAGTCGTAAGCAATCAAAATCTGAAACCATAAAGATTAACTAATCAATCCATCATATGAATCGGCATTAGTCACCTCTAACTTCATTTTCCAACCGATTAAGCTCGACCTTCACCGGATCCGATCCGTGTAGCAGATTCATAAACTCGTCGGCGTCTAAGCTGGGTCTCACCATAGCTCTCCTACGACTACCGCTACCTGAGCTCCTCCCACCTCCTACTCCTTCCCTGAAAGATCCCGACATCATAAACGTCGTCGTCTCACCCATCGGAGGCCGTACATTGCCGCCGCTATTCTCCATCGCATCCCTCATTCCTATCATACCGCCGTCGCCTGTTACCTCCTCCATCACTCGGATCTGTACTCAATCACACATTAGTAATTCTAAACCAAACCCTTTTATCATCTAGGGTTTCTCAGTCATACATCACTACTACACTTAGATGCGTATGTATAAGACGAATGCAGATATGTATGTAGCTAGAGTTAACTGATGAACTCTCTCTAAAGTCTAAATCTGCATAGTCCCTTTCTCTCTTTAAAGATCTTTGAAGTGTCTGCGTGTGATTTAGTGTGAAAAAGATCCGGGGGGTTTTCTGTCTTTAAAGCGTGTCAAGAAATATTGAAGAAGATCCGACTCTCAAGACTATGATAATTAGGCTCGCAGGGTAGTGCGACATCAATTTTTTTTTTTCTTTCATTTTTTTAAGATAATGACTTAAAAAGTAATATATTTTTCGATTTGTATACATTTGGTTACTGATGATTTTTTTCATCCATATACATTTTTAAATTGTTAAACTGTACACATTCAGTCCTTATGACCGGTTACTCCAGGTTAACCGGTAAAAATGACTTAATAAGTATTATATTTTTTTACTTTATACATAGTTAGTCATTAATATTTTTGTACACGTTTAGTTTTTAATATTTTTTTTTATTGCAAAATAAGTCATTTTTATTTTTGTACTCATTCAGTACTTATTAATGATTTCTTTATGTTTTTCTCACGACATCTTACATGGGACAATCATTAATGAAGTGTTTGGGGTTTTTGATGCTTATGTCCATCGCGAGCTCGACTACTTGGTTGCTTAGGTCATGTTTTCTGAACATCATAACTTCATACAATCTCAAATTTTAACGATCTTTATATCTATGCGTTCGTATTTTAGTCTACTACAACTTTCATTTAGATTACTTCCGTTAAAAAGTAATATATTTTTACTTATGATCTTTGTATCCATATGTTTTTTATGAATGTATGTATGAATTTTTTTTTTATAAAAACATAAGTAAAAATATATTACATTTTAACGGGAGTAATCTTAACGAAAGTTGTAGTAGACTCAAAAAACAAACACGTGGATATAAAGATCGTTAAAATTTGATATCGAATGAAGAAGTTACGACGTTCAAAACACATGACTTAAGTCAAACTACAATAACAACGCAACCAAGCAGTCGATGTCGCGATTGACATAAGCATCAACAACCCCAAACACCTCATCAATGATTCTCCCATATAAGGACTAAATGTGTACGAAGTAAGAAATATATTATCTTATTAAGTCATTTTTACCGGCTAACCTGGAATAGTCGGTCATAAGGATTGAATGTGTACAGTTTAACAAGTTGAAAGGGTAAATGTGGACGAAAAAAAAAAACTCAGTGACCAAATGTATACATATCGAAAAATATATTACCCTTTTAAGTCATTATCCCTTTTTTTTTGCTAACACTTCGTTAGCAACTTTTCCTTAGTATTTCATAGAGAGTAGTAACATCTCTAGCACTCCTTGATTTTTTTTTTCTTTTTCAAACTTTAATAAATTATATTTTTAAAACACATATTCCGTATTAAAGAAATTATATATTTTTTTAAAACACAAACTTAAATAAATTATTTTTATTATTATTTAAGTGCTTGTAAAAGGTAATTAACAAATTAATATTTTGATAGTTCTTATTTAAATAAACAAAATCTATTGGAACTCTTTATTCAAAACAAAATAAATAAATAATAATGTTTTCCACAAATTGATGACCATGTATTTCATAAAGCATGAGAGTATTTCTCACAAGTAGAAAAAAACACCCAATCACATATAATCAAACCCTCTTTTCTTTTTCTCGCTATGACGGAAACGACTCTTTCTTGGCATACATCCTAGCGAGAGGCTAAGGGTGGTCTATAGCAAAGCAAGCGAGGCCTTGGCGAGAGCCTTAACATGGCCACTCTCCATACCCTTACAGTCCTTTTTTTTTGAAAGAAATTGAATTGTTTTAAAATTTATGGATTTAGTAAAACTTTTTTTTTAATTTCGGAACAATGTTATGTTTCCAACTATTCAAAGAGGCTGTTTGTTTTTTTGTAAAAAACTTATTCAGACCACATATTGTTGCGCGGCATAGCACATGTGCAACACTTTACATCTCGCAGCAATTTGTTTTTTGAAAGTCTTCGGAGTAAAAAACATTTGTGTGTGTTATGTTTGGGGCAACATTTGACTTGTCTCTTTAAGCCTCTTCAAACCTAAACCTTAAATAAAATAAAAAAAAAATCGAACATCTCCCCCTAAAAAAAAGTGTCGCACTCTCGTTTTTTCTCCCTTCGACGACTGCTTCATCTCTGATCGCAACCTCCATCGTTGTAGCCTCCTTTGTCGTTGCAGCTTCCTTCCTCGGCATAGCCTCCTCCCCAACGCAGTCTCCTCCCCGTCCCACCGTCATCGTTGGTCAGTCGGCGCCTTCATCAAGTAAGTTTTTTTTCGCTTATCGTTGTTGAAGCAACGATTCTGTCCTGCTTCATCTTATTTTTTTTTCGTTTTTTCTTGCTGAATCCTTGTTGATATCTTTGTTCTTGTTGGATCGTGATGTTGATGTTATCAAATCTTTGTTGATGTTGTTTTTTTATCTTGAGTAATGATAAGTTATTGTTAAAATGTCACAAATTTATGTTGAAATGTCATATATTCTGCTGAAATATGATGAATTATTGCTGAAATTTCATTAATTGTTGTTGAAATGTCATAAAATTTTGCTGAAATGTCATGAATTGTTGCAGATATTTCATAGATTGTTGTTGAAATGTGACAGATTATGACTGAAATTCATCAATTGAGGTTCTTATTATGCTGAAATGTGAATAATCTTTGTTGAAATTCGTTAGTTTAATCAATAGAAATTCTTGATATGTTGAAAGTTGTTGTTATTAGGTTATGTTTGCTAAAGTATGAATTCCATTTTTTTTTGTTATTAGCAATGGGAGATAAACATACATGGACCAATGAGTAGATAAAATTCTAATTGAAAACTTGTATTGAAGAATTAAACATTGTGGGTAGAAAATGTTTGAGTTTGCACAAACATTCATGGAACAAGTTAGGAATAGTTATTAAGGAAAAGTATGGCGTGGATTTGACTCAAAGACAATTGAAAAACGCCTATGAAAATCTTAAAGCCAAATACACAGGATGGTTATACTTGAAAAACAAAACTAGCAACCTTTACAATCCTCAAATAAACACTTTTAACTTAACGAACGAGGAGTAAGAGGACATTAAAAATTTATATATGTATGTGTGTGTATATATATATATATATATATATATATATATATATATATACTTATTTAAATGTATTTTCTATAGTTGTCAAATATTCTTATACTACTTTTGTTACATTGATTGAGTTTAGGGACATCCGAAGGCCGCTTCCTTGAAAACTATCCCATTGTTGTTTCCAGAGCTTTGTGCAAGCATCTTTGATGGAAACAGTGCATCTGGTAATATCATCTATGCCACATCCCAAACACCATCGGGACATGGATCATATTCTTGTTATGTCTTACCACTACAACTTATGGACACCCTTTCAATTAACACAGATGAGGATGATTACTTTCCCCTTCATACTAGTGAGCCTTCTGCTGCTTCACCTTCTGGTAACCCCAACAAAAGGGCTAAACCCTCAACTCCTAGAGCTCGAGCTCCTAGTGCCTCACCTGATCCACCTTCTAGTTCATCACCTAAAGTGTAACACCCGGACATCAGGTATTTTTCTTTTTGACCCAAAATATAAAATATGTTGCAAATTGGTCCTTACGCCAAGCATACTTGGGGCGTACGCTTGGCATAGCTCATTTAAAACGGGTCGCGTGTTCAAGTGGAACAAGTTAGGAACATTTATTAATGAAAAGTGTGGTGTGGATTTGACTCAAAGACAACTGAAAAACACTTATGACAATCTTAAAGCCAAATACACAGGATGGTTATACTTGAAAAACAAAATTGGCAACCTTTACAATCCTCATACAAATACTTTTAACTTAACGAACGAGGAGTGAGAGGACTTTAAAAAAGTGTGTGTGTGTGTATATATATATATATATATATATATATATATATATATATATATGTGTGTGTGTGTGTGTGTATGTATTTTGTATAGTTGTTAAATATTCTTATACTACTTTTGTTACATTGATTGAGTTTAGGGACATCTGAAGTCCGCTTCCTTGAAAATTGTCCCATTGTTGTTTCCAGAGCTTTGTGCATACCTCTTTGATGGAAACAATGTATCTGATAATCTCATATAGGCTACATCCCAAACACTATCGGGACATGGATCATATTCTTGTCATGTCACACCACTACAGCTTATGGACACCCCTTCTATTAACACATATGAGGATGATTACTTACGCCAAGCGTACTTGGGGCGTACGCTTGTCGTAGCTCATTTGAAACGGGTCGCGTGTTCAAGTGTAACAAGTTAGGAACATTTATTAAGGAAAAGTATGATGTGTATTTGACTCAAATACAATTGAAAAACACTTATGACAATCTTAAAGACAAATACACAAAATGGTTATACTTGAAAAACAAAACTGGCAACCTTTACAATCCTCGAACAAACACTTTTAACTTAACGAACGAGGAGTGGGAGGACTTTAATATATATATATATATATGTGTGTGTGTGTGTGTGTATGTGTGTGTGTATTTTGTATAGTTGTTAAATATTCTTATACTACTTTTGTTACATTGATTGAGTTTAGGGACATCCCAAGGCCGCTTCCTTGAAAACTGTCCCATTGTTGTTTCTAGAGCTTTGTGCATACCTCTTTGATGAAAAACAGTGCATCTGGTAATCTCATCTATGCCACATCCCAAACACTATCGGGACATGGATCATATTCTTGTCATGTCTCACCACTACAACTTATGGACACCCCTTCTATTAACACATATGATGATGATTACTTTCCCCTTCATATTAGTGAGCCTTCTGTTGCTTCACTTTCTGTTGTTTCACTTTCTATTGTTTCACCTTCTGGTAACCCCAATAAAAGGGCTAAACCATCAACTCCTAGAGCTCGAGTTCCTAGTGATGAGTTTTAAGCACTATAACAATCCTATGGTGCACATACAACCCTAAATGCTTTGGATTTAAATTTTCTCAAGTTATACATGCAATTACATTTTATCCAAAGCATATAACCTAGATAGCATACAATTGGAGATATACAACATAAAAAATAGTTAGAAGAATACCTCTTTGTTGTAGCTTGTAGGACCTTTCCTTTCAAGAGCTTAGCACCTCAAGTG